GAAAAACAAGTTTCTTCTTTTAAGATTAGATACAAATATTCCTCCAAGGGGATTTCATTTTATTATTCTAAGTATTCTCGACTGTTGATATTTTTTTATAAAAAGAGTTTTTCACAATCAAAACAGCATCTAAGAAAATTTTTCATAGAATATAAATAAAAAAGCTTCTTAGAAATTTTTTATTTTTCTTTTTTGTGTCAGTCATGAATTTATTTATTCTTGATTAATAACAAAAAAAAACTTTTTAGAATATAACGAAACAATGTGTTGTGAAATATAAAAAAAACCAAATCTTTGTTCATACACAAAGATTTGCACAATGTGTTTAGCATAATAACTTGTTTGTTCTTATTTATTGTTTGTTTTTCTTCTAAAATAAAGAAATAAATATTTTCTTTCTTTTCACATTATATTTACGTTCTTTTTTTTGAATCATTTTTAATATCATCTTCATAATCTTCGACTTCTTGATCGACTACAAAGAAGATGCGAAATAATATATACTGTTATTAATTTTTGTTACTTACAATTTTCGAACTTTTCCAAATCTTGTATGATATTCAAATCGTATATGGCTTTTCGAGACTTCCTGCAAAAAAAAACAAAATACAGTGAGATTAGCTTTAACTATTAATCCCTTACTGATAAATTAGGTTTATTTTTTTATTCTTATATATATTATAATTAAGGTTTTTGATATTTTCAACGTCTTTAACAACATCTATAATACAAAATAATATAATAATTGATTAAAAAATTTTTTTATTAAATTAATTTCATTATATAATAATTAAAAAACAATATGTTTTACCTTCATATTTTTCTTTTCTGCACAATAATTCAATACGTTCAATATATGACACAAGAAGAACATTTTTTATAATTTTATCTTCATGATTAGCAGGTGATATTTTGTTTATTATATCGTCCAATATCTAGGAATCATTTATAAATATCTTTGATTTTCTTCGTTTTCAAGATTTCAAGGCACTTACTTTTACTGCATCATCTTCATTACCGTCATATAAATTCATTTTAACACAACCTGTCAAATAAATTACTTGCTTTTTTAACTCCTCCGACATTTCCAAATAATATTGGAAGATGTTATTACTAAAAAAATAAAATTCACAATAATGATGAGTTTGTTTTCTAAAAAATACACTAATGTCTTAATATTAAATAAGCAGCATACAAAACATTATATTTATATTATAGTTGACTACAAAGGCCTTGTCTACACTAGAAAAATAATACGGTATTAAATTCGTATTAAAATGATGTGTGTCTTCACTTATAAGTTAATGCATCAATCAGAATCCAGAATGATTTGTCGCTTTGTTTAGTTCAATTGGTTCACAGAAATCGAATTTAATGTTGATTGGTGCATTAACTTTAATTCGCTTTCGAAAGCGCATTAAATTTAATGTGCTTTTGAAAGTGCATTAAATGCGAATTAAATTTTCCACGAATCAAGTTTCTTAATTCGGTATTAAATTTTCTGGTGTAGACAAGGCCAAAGAACGTAAACGAATTAAATGACGAAGAGTTTAAACGAATGAACAAGAGAGACGAATCATAACAAATAATGGAAAACACAAAAATATAAAGATGTCGTTTTTTACAATATAAAACTTAACATGTAACAGATTCAAATAAATATATTAAAATATAGTTGACGTCAGAAGCTTCAAACCACTGTTTTGTTTTGGTTGGCATTTCAGGAATACAGAACGTAGATTTTAACTTCTTTTTACATTCGGATAGCGGAGCTCGAGTACCATATGTCTGCATATTTCTGAAATGAATAACTCGTGAATCGAAAGCATATGGAAAAAAAACAAACTTCAACACTACAACAAATGCTATTTAAGAGAAAACAAGCTGATATGGTCATTAGAAGTTTGAGTACGATCTTAGTAATGTGGACAATCAAATAATTTTTTTGTTTTATATTTTTATAAGAATCGATAGATCTCAATGAGCTCTACAAGACTATCTATATTAATACTGTTTGGAATTGTCTTCTGAAGCAAAAAAGGTTACAAAATAATTGCACTCTTTGTTTGTTTTGTATGAAAAGTCAAGAATCTTTTTTACACCAAAAAAGGATAAAAATCACAATTTTATGGGAAATTCTAATTTCAGAAAATGGTCCTAAAAAGTTTTAATACAGACAGTGTTGTATGGCTTATCTAAATATCTCTATTTATATAAAAAATATCAAACAAATTCTTATAGGTGTTCCGACAGGAGTAGTTGACCCATAAATTCACGCATACATCATATTGCTGCTGCTGCTGTGGGTACCGTGAAAGGACTGATCGCGAAAGGAGTTGCCATGATAGAACAGACATTATAAAGGAGTTGGTGTGAGTACCGTGAATATAGATGTATAACTTGAAACTTAGTTTCAAGTGAGCTTTCTCATTTCTACCTCCAAGTATTAAAATTTGAAATACAATTCAGAGAGTAACACACCCCATATGTGTCTCGATGTGGGTATCGAGAAGAAACTCATATAGTGTCTCTGCCAACGTAATGCGTGTGAAGCCTAAAAATTGAAGTGAACTATTCAGTAATCTCAGGAATAGTCACTCAATGGTAAGAACTTTTCCGTGTGGAAGGACCTTTTATATGAGAGACACGACGCATAGGATGTCTTCGGAGAGTTTGCACGGAAACTCAATTAAACATCGACGGAAAAGATATGGTAGATGTTGGAGATGCAGAACATATGAGTGATATAGAGATATAAACGAGATAGAAGATATACGATACATTCATTAACTAGTTTCTATAATCTTTATATAGTGTTTGACTTAGAATATCGATCCATTAAGATATATTGATTCAAATTTTCAACGATTACTCGAAAAAAATCAATCATAAAATAGACATAACTGTTTACTATCATCCTACATCTCTATATCTTCAATATCTCGAATATCTCCTCCATCAATGTTTAATTAAGTTTTCGTAGACGTTTCTCGAAGACATCTAATCCAATTTTTAGGATCTATAGCGAGGGAGAGAGACTCACAAAAACGTTGATTTAAGCTTTCACTGACTATTATTTTCTCCGAAAAAATAGCTCTATTTCATAAAACATTCTGTAAGAGGAAAGTTAATCGAAATGGACTGCTGTTTTACACTAGAAAATAACAAATGTTATTGCGTAAATACTGATCGTTTTTTTCTAGCATCATTTTCATTGACGAATCTATGATAAACAAAAAGAAATCATATGTTCGGTAGAAGAGAAAATCTTCAATTAACTAATAGAAAAATATTTTAACCGAAAACGACTAAATAATAACGAGACTGATATATCGATTTATACGAATTGTTTCAACTCCTCTAAATAGAACCATTTTAATAACATTCTCAATCTCACGTTTTCTATTTATTATCTACTTTTAGTAAACAAACTCTCTTACATGAGAAAATCTATCTATGTTTGTTTCTTTGTTTGTCCTAATAAATAAGACTTTCGATACTATTTATCCTATATAGAGTTTCCTATTTTGTACTTTTTTAAGATTAAGGCATTGGTACATTTGATCAATGATATGTATTGGTTTCTTCCTCTCGTCCAATCGGCTCTTTTCAGGGTAGAAGTTCAGTCAATGAAATACGACATGTGGGGTCGAAATGTGCGTAAGGGCATATCTATGATTATCGTTTGTGTCAGTGTGACTGTCTAATGTGGATTTGAGTATAGGTCTAATGTTGATGTTAGCTTCTTAGGTATGGTTGTGATCGTTTCTGGTGATTGATCGTGTCTGTCGATGTGGATGTCGGTGGGTTGTGTCTATCGTCTGCAGAAATTATTGAATTAGTGAAGAGAATAAATAGAATAATAGGCACAAGCACATCGATACTTACAGTAATATAGATTATCTTTCAAAATATGTCTATAATAGTGAAATGATAGAACGATTAAATCGAAGGTGAGACAAGTCTGATTGACGATGATAACCTATCTATATGATATGAATAAATATTAAATAATAATCTTTTATAGAACTGAAAGTTTTTATAAAAAATAATTTAAAAAAAAACGATGTGTTGAATTGTTCGATTGTTATTAAATAATATAATCTAGATTAAATAATATAATCTTTTTTTTAAGCCGAACTAAATTAATTATCCATTACATCGATTAAAAACAAAACATTCAGCTTTTGATGAAAAAAGTTCTTGTTTTTGATAAAAAGATGAAGAAATATTTGAATTAGTGCTATTCTATCGACAAAAACCAAGAAATATGAGTAAATAATAAAATTGATATTATTTATTCGAGATAGATATTAATTGAATTCTATATTATTAAGACTACCCCGGTTCCTTCTTGATGTTCTTTTATTCCTAGATTGAATCCCTCTTCAACAAATATAGGGAATGATATATAGAGAGAAATAAAGCATCAAAGAATACGAAATGAATGAACAAATATCGATGAGTCAATGAGTGATACACATGACTGTAACACTTGATATAACACGATTTCCCATGCTAAAACACGAAGGTTTGAAAGAAGACCATTCTACAGAAGTATCCATTTTTAGCTTGCTTTTTACGGAAAAACACAGAGCTTGAGAAGGGAACACCTTATTTCTTAGATACTTTATTTTCTAGGTATTTTCTCTACAAAAATACAGTTTTTGAGAAAAGAAATCTTTTAAGATCTTTATGTAGAAGTGTACGCCATGCACGTAGGATTATTGAGTGTGCAAAGAGATGAAGTTAGAAAAGATTTTTGGGAACGGTTGCTTACAATAATCATATGTATTTGCTTGTGTTTGGTGTTACATATGTGTATCTGACGTATACGACTCTTTACACTCGCTGTATTGCTTAATCTGGGTAGTCGACAAATTCGAAAAACAAACAATTTGATTTGGATCAGTTTCGATATTTTATTTCTCAATAAAAGCATACATAGACAATGTTTTACAAGTAATCATTGCGTAAATTATTGGCATAAAATTGTCTGTTCAGTTTTTAAAGAAATGTCTAAGAGATTCATGGAGTTCTCGCATGTAGACTTTCGAAGGTAGAACAAACACAACAAAGGTGGATATTTGTGGAATAAATGAAATAAAGTAACCAATTAAATAAAGCCAAGGATTTCGAATTGATTTCATACAAGCAGATAGAAACGAAAAAATCAAACGAGGTAAACCCAATAACAGGAGAATATACTGTGAAATTAGTAGATGCTTATGTAGTTGTATTTGTTCGAATAAAAGTTGCTTAAGTGATTGATTTTTCTGAGTTTTTGAACGAATATAGGCACCAAGAACAATAATAATCAATGCCGAAATAAAATTGAAAACAACCGGAATAGTAAGATGAACAGCATTCACAATTCTATCATATGCTTGTAGAGATGGTGAATATTTTGCAAGACACCATGTACGTTGTCCTTCATCATCGATGAGACGACGATGAATCGGGTCATGAATATGTGTACAACCAGTGAATAGAACCACTATTAACACAATCCATTTAGCACAATTTCTGCTCTTTCTTTTATTAAAATTGATTCCTTTTGAGATACTGGTCGCACGTTCGATACCAATACAAGCGCTGAGCCAATCACCAGTAGATAGAGCAACTCGAAGAAAAAAATCAACAGATACGCATTGTGTGTAGAGAAACGAGCGATTTGTAAGCGAACCGATCTGTGTTGCAAGAAGAAATGCAACCTTAATTGTTAGTAGACACACTGTAATTATTGATGTAATTGAAATGATAAACAGATAATAACCACAACCGACATCACGTGTCTTTTTCATTTTAAATGTGGACAATGAGAAAAAACTGTTTAAAAGACTGAATACCAACGTAAGTACAGTAAATACAATAACTACTTTCACCACGGTCGGTTGATTATGGATGACAGTATTTAATCGAATTTGATTGCCTAAAATAACATCTAACGAGAGAATCGATCCATAAGTATTAAATTGACATTTCGATCCATAGTAACATTCTGGACAGACACAAATTGATAATGTCGGACACCTTTCATTATCTTCAACGCATTGACCTCCATTTTCACATAAATTATATCCCCGACAACTGTAATTCTCGTAATGATTAAATTTAAAACAATTGGCTTGTTTAGTAAGATCACATAAACAAAAACGAGATTTATCATAGAAGCAAACCAATTCCGATCGTTCTTGACATGGAATATGATAGTATTTGACAAGTCTCAGTAAGGAAAAATTACGCAAAGTTTCGTTGAATAGTTCACGAACGAATGGACATCGATTAGATGGTATTATCTGTGTCGAAATATTCACCACGATGTTCTGCTCTCGTAGAGCAATAAGATAATACTCATTGAATATTGCTGCGAAAGCAATATTGAAAGCGAGCGAACTATAGATCTTGATTTCATCTTGATTGAATGGAATTCGTTTCATCGTACTCATTTGAATCTGTTTTGTGTCAGGTTGACTTGTAATGAAATGAACAGTGATTAGTTGTGGAATAGTCAATCTTTTGTCAAATGATATGTCGATTCGAATGTTTCGACGTTCACAGTAATCTCCTGAGAACTCTTCAGAACAACTGCATACTGCTTTTCTTTGTTGTAAATGTGCATGACGTATATCGTTAGAAACACATCGACCATCGTTTTTGCAGAATCCAGAATGACATGTCGATTGCAGAAGATAACATCGAGGACCAAATCTATTGGTAGGACATACACAAGTAGAGTTATCGACACACAATGAATCGGATGCACAATCACATGTATACTGAATATTACATTGCAAACCTGTCCAACCCGATTGACATCGACAGAATGTTGAACTTCGATTATTGACATAAGTGGAACAGTGACCATGAATACACGAAGGTGTACAACTTTCATGAGGACCAATTGTTGAAGTTGGAACTATGAGTCGAACGGCCAGACGATGTACAGGTAAAAATGGGAACTGAATTGGAAAAATCCAACTGGCTCGATATTTCAATGTTAATTTATTGAATGCATCAATGACTACTGAAAAATTTTTCGACGGATTTTTCGGCCGACTTGAATAGAGTAAATAGACATCAAATTTCGTGTCACAATCCCGAATGGCCCAATATTCAATATAATCCTTGGATTCAATATTTCTTTCATTGTCTACCAGACTAAGAATAAAAGTGAATGGAATACGCCAATCCGATGTCATACGTATTTGAAGCGTGAGACTAACACGTTGATTTTGATATTCACACTTATCTCCGTAGTAACTCGGTGGACAAAGACATCGTGGAACATTCATGGTTTTATTCAATCGAATCAAAATAGCAAGTCCTCGATTACATCGCCATGAATCGGGATATCGTATGTTGCTTATTGGAATGCTTTGACCTAGTTGAATTGTCCTGTAAGTTGATGATAGTGTAATTGAGGTAGTCTCATAAGTCATTAACTGTAGTGGAAATACCGGCATATGGCGTAGTTTCAAAGAGGGTTTCCTACGATTTTTTGTCATTATAACGTCACAAAAATAGTTTTCGACTTTATTTCGAGCTGAAATTTCTCGATTACAGAGGAGTTTCGTTGGAGATAAATACTTTTCACAGAACACTTCATCGTCACCAAATGGACAGTGCTTCTGATTGTCACATAATACATTATGTCCAAATCCGACTTTGTATGTTTTATTTCCACAAAAAAAAGGGTTTTGTGTCTTTTCCAAGCCGCCAGCAGAGTTCTTTATCGGTGAGTGTCGTTCATCTAATTCACCAAGGCAGTCGACTATCCCGTCACCAGCTCGAGCAATCGGTAAACATGATACTGTTGATGCATTGCTTGGAAAGACACAGCTATGTTCAAATTCTAGACAAGTCGATGGTGGACAATTTACCTCATCAGCTCCATCTTTGCATGACCAAAACCCATCACATCGAGTGTATGTATTATTACATGGCCAATGTTGGCATTCATTTTCATCCGTTTCATCTAGTCCATCGATCGATACGGGTATGGCATCTGACCTATTATCACATAGCCTCTCAAAATCAAAGTTCTCATTGTAATGTCGACTAGTAGTCGTATCGAATTCATCGCTTCTATCGTCACAATCCCAGATAGTATCGAGAATGGTTAATGGTGCTAAACATACTTTGTTCTTATGTATTCTACATGTAAAGCGACGATGAGCATCGTTCAGTGAACAACTCTGATTAAACATTTCGTCATCGTTGAAAGGACAGTCCTGAATAGAATCGACAAGGCGATGTTTTGATATACATCTAGTTGAATTCTGACACTGATAAATCGTTGAATGATTGCAATATTGCGTTTCATTTGATACAATTATACAAGGTCGAAATAATTTTTGGACTTCAAGAATCAAGTCATTATATATCATTACTGTTGGGAGTCCTAATTTATCAAAATTATAACAAGCTGAATCATTAATACGTATTGCAAATGGAAAACATTGTGATATAAAACGTTGATCATCGTAGCACATATACTTGGGCAGTTGGACAACTGGGAACATGTTGAGCTGTCTATCTTTATTTTCATGTATGAACCATACATTTCCGAATAAAATAGGATATGATGGAAACTGATATAAAGATGGGCAGTTGCTTTTAGGACAAATGAGACCCGGACATATCTTTGTTGCACAAACTTCTCTAACAGCGTTGTCAATGAATGACTTGGTATTTGTGATACATTCCATGGTTTTCGAACATAAATCATCCGATGATATCATTTCACCACGCTTGTTTCTACACCGATTTGTCTTCTCCACTATACAGCCTCCATCGCCACAAGGAAATTCTGCATATCCTGGTCGACAACTATGTTCTTCACAGCGAAAGCTAGGATCTTTAAAACATCCGGGAGAAGATAGTGCTAAAAAGCGCTCGTCTGTTCTATCTAAACAATCTGGATTTGAAGGAATATCGTGGAAAAATTCTGCTGGAATGCATTGACCATTGTGGCATCGATATTCATTCTCAGCACATTCGTTTATTTCGAGTTGCCAGCAATTCAATTCATCGGATCCATCCACGCAGTCAATTTTCCCATTGCAAATCTCGCGCCAGTCCAAACATTGTAATGATGTGTCACAATCAAGATGCTTGTAACACGTTATTCTATCATCCTTCACAATTATGTTTTCTGGTGGAAAATTGCGAGCCACCATTGTATCAAATGATATATTGTCGGGTGGATCGAATGAAAACTGACAGAATGGGCCAAACCATGGCCACAAACAACTGTAAAACAAGCAAGGGGGGAAAAGCAGATTTTAGTCCCTAAAATCTCGAGAAATCTTTTAGAATCTTTGGGAATCTTTGGGAATCTTCAGAAATCTTTGGGAATCTTTAGAAATCTTTGGGAATCTTTGGGAATCTTTAGAAATCTTTCGGAATCTTTGAGAATCTTTCGGNTTATGATATTGTTTCCTTTTGGAATATTGTGTTATATTGCCGAGCGGCTTGACTTTCTTTATTTATGCCGATTTCTGGGCCAAAGCTTTGCCAAGCTCTTATCTAGGGCTCTATAAAACTTTGAGAACCACTATTTTAGAAAATGATAGATCACATATGCATGTATCTGCGCAAACGATTAGATTCTGAAAAAGAATATTTTCGCATATGTCCGCCTGGCTCCCCACTGTGGGGTGTGTGGGTGTGGGTGTGGGTGGGTGTGGGGTGTGGGTGTGGGTGGAGGTGGTTCATCTCTTCATCCACACCCACACCCCACACCCACCCACACCCACACCCCTGGACTTTGCGGCCTTTGTTGCTTATGGGTGGACACAATGCGTTCGAAGATGATTTTTTTTCGCATGCCAAATAAAGCTGATCTTTTATCATCGTGACTGTTTCAGTTTGAATAAAATCGATGAAGTCATTAACGGATGGCAGAATGATAGCAAAGATCAGAAGTATACTCTTCCAGTTGAACGTTTTCTGTAAACTTGGATCGAATGAGGGCTCAGATGCGTCGGCAAAAGAGCAGCCACACGTACAAGCTTTATTGGCTGGATCATATATAATAAGAAAAACATCTTGTACTAATTGCCTTACTCGAAGAAGCTGGATTGTGAGTGTAGGTGTGGTATCGGTCATGAGCGGATCGAGACCGCACACTATTCTAGTAGCAGTTCTGAATAGGCCACACAAATAAATCTCTGAAATATGCTTTTGATGATCATTATTTTCTATTTGAGGTGTGGGTATGTGTATTTTATTTTGGTCTCCACCAACACCCTTACTCACAGGGACACCATGGTACACACCGACAACCCACACCCACACCCTCAAGTCTAATGATGTTATTAAGAAAGATGGGTCTTATTTTCTTCATGGTTTATCTTTTAACATCCACAATGTTTTTTTAATAACTAAGTCTATTTTTTTTTAATAGGGGACTATCATCTTCTAAGCGATATTTTTAACAAATATGCATCAGATATTATTATTCATCATGAAGATCCTGCAATCGTTAAAAAACATAATCGCCCAGGTTGGCAAAGCTTGTTAGCGCAGCCTCTTTGAAGCTGAAATGTGGAACTCACATAGAGTGTCTATGCTCATTAACCTAATACAAAAAACGTGAAGTGAAAAATGTCTCGTAGATTATAATTGTTTTGCAGGATAATCAATTACTGAAATAAAAACCTCTCTAATTTCTACATTTCGAAGAGAATTTTTTTATTTCTTTTTACGGGCAGCCTATTTTTGTTTTCCTTGTTACTATCCGCTCATTATTTTCATTTTTTTTTAAATTTGTTTTTCTTAATTTGACATTCTTATTATTGTGATCATTGAAATAATTGACAAATAACTCTGTTTTACATGTTCGTGATGTCTACAGCAGATCTTACGCACTATCATATATATTAATCAATTTACAAATAATGATGTTCATTATTTTTCAAAATTATAACTTGATCAATTTCAAAAAAAAAACTCTTGAAAATGGGGTGGGGGTGTCTGTAATGGGGGCTTGCATTGCTAAATGTCTGTAATGGAGAGGGGCGGGGAGCCACAAAACTCGAACTTAAAACTTACACATTGTTTTCTTCGAAACTATATGTGAGTTGCACATGTTGGCCTCGTAGGGGCTACGCTAACAAGCTTTTTTCTGTTTTTCCTTGTATCGATACTATAATCCTTGACAGAAGCAAAGAAGCAATATCATCTAGTTTTTTTCTCGTTCTTGTATATTTTTTTTCCACACACTTTCTATTATGAAAGTACCTGTTTTTTAGTGTTTCATGAATGATTGTGAAAATGCTCAAACGAGAACTGCGACTAAAGCGTTTTCAGAAATTCTTGTTGAATAGGTTCAAATTTTTCACAGATTATTTGAAGAGAATTTTCTTTTTGTTAAAGCATTTATTTACAACAAAACTTTTTTATATTAATATAATTGAAGAATTTTCTACTATTTGAATAATTTCAGAAATATGAAATTCGTTTTGATCTCAGTATAGAAATGAAAGATTGAAGTATGCTAATCATGATACATCATGTTAACAAAAACGAAAGACTATTTTCTTTTTTGTTTTGATTATATTTTCTGTATAAAGATCAAATAAATCAAATAATGAATAACATCAGAAATAGATTGACAAACAAATAGTCTTCTATAGTCTTATTATATAGCATGACAATAATAACAATAAAAATATCATGTCGGTGAGACACACAATATAGGTTTTTGTCAATTATGTGAAAACGTTATTTGCTATGATGCTAATTGAACAAGAACAGAGTTAAGTCTATTTAAATGATTTAAAAACGGGCGTGGGTGTGGGTGTGCTCTATTATGTCACACCCATACTCAGTTTTGACAATACATGACTAACAAAGTAAAATTGACAATACACACCCGAGGCAGACAAAACTTTCGAAAAACGCGTTTAAACGCACAATCGGGAACCGGGACTGTGATCCATTCACGCTCATTAAAAAAACGCAAGAAACGACATTTTTTGTACAAAATAGTCACTTTTCAAGCGTGAAAACGGTGGAAAACTTAAATTTCTAGTGTTAAAACGTTCTTTTTTTCTAGATTTAAAAAACGACGTGTTTAAACGCTCAGTTTTTTATATTTTTGCCGTTTTCACGCTTGAAAATTGACTATTTTGCACAAAAAACGTCGTTTCTTGCGTTTTTTTAATGAGCGTGAATGGATCACAGTCGCGGTTCCCGATTGTGCATTTAAACGCGTTTTTTGAAATTTTTGTCTGCTTGGGACGAAGATGATGCTGGTTGTATTTTAAAAAAATCAGTTAAGGAAGTACATGAATATGTATCTTTAAGTGAAGATGATGAGACTGAAAAAGAAAATTATGATTCGAATATTAATAAAGTTGCTATTGACACTAGTGGGTCTCATTGTCTTTTCAGCATTGCTTTCTTCTAATCAAGATTAGATATGAAATATGAACATAGAAAAGAAAAGCGCGATGTTTTATTTTGAATTAAAATAGAAAAAATGTTTTTTGTGTTTCCTGTCTAATCTACTTTAATTAGATATCCTCATCCAAAGTCATGTCACGGTCAGGCACTACTGTGCTTGTGCCTATTTTGTAGATTTCTATTTATTAAGCCAGTACTGTTAACTAACGTTGAAGTTCTCAAGACTTTGAATAATTATTAAAGAAAAATCAATGATGCTTAGTAAAAGTGTACCATGATGAAGAGTGTCCGGTCTATTGCACAAACTTACTCAATATACCGTATAACGACCAGTCGAATGATGATGAAATATGTGTTATTTAAAACCGTATAAAATACAACGGCATAGGCCGAACAGTTGACTATAGATCATTTTTACTAATTATCATAGATTTTTCTTCAGTAATTTCTCGATGTCTACTGGAATATCATCAATTTTTCGATAGCATTGCTAGTTTCATAAGTGTTACATTAATGTGCTGTACAGTTGGCGTATGTTTTTTTTCCTAATGTTCTTTCTACAATGATAGGCCATGAGAGAAACGATTTTGATTTCGAGGACGTGAGCATGAGTAAAATGACAACAATACCGACACTCACACCCTCTATCAATTCATATATGCAAGACGCACCCTCTCCTGAGGAGTAAACTAAGATTTTTCCACGTCTACATACAAATACAGCATGATGTGATTTGTCATTCATCGACTTTCCATCACACTCTGCTTCCACATAACCTCACGTGAACAGCTAGATCAAACTCTGAAAAATTCATGACTTTGTAGAATTTTTCATGCGCTATCTTTTGAGGTACTACTGAAGCTGAAGCGAGAAAGTAGTCATCACCATATTGTCAATTTCGGTGGCCATGTATATTTCGCGTGTGTATTAATTTCGGTGTAAGGAAAGTGCTTAGAAAATATCACTATGGTCCCTTGAATTTAATATGAAAATATTAGTTAAAGTTTTCTCTTTCATTCTATGCATGATTCAATAGTATTTCATGAAAAAAAAGTCTAGTGGGCCGATTCAGCTTCTTATAAGTACTCATCCTTTGCGCAAGCTTCAATTTTGGTATTATGCCTGTAGATGCTCGAGGGAAGACGTTCACAAAGCTAATATGTTGTGGTATTTTGAACGAAGTCAATTTATCACTGAGATATGATTTTAATTCCTTCGCACTACATGATATATTTGGTTTGAGTACTACAAATTCACATACGATTGAGTCGGTAAGATCGTGAGGAACGAAAAAACATGAACTTCAGCGATGGTTGAATGTGTTTCAATAGCTAATTCAATTTCAATCGAGTAAACATTGCCTACTGTTCGAATAATGATGTCTTTTTTCCTCTCAGCGAAATATAAATATCCTTCTTCATCCATTTTCGCTAAAGAACCCTTCCGCAACCACCTACCATCAGTAATTGTTTCGACTGTTTTGTCGAAATCATTATGATAGCCTCGCATCACTGCATAACTTCGAGCCCAGATTTTCCCTGTCGTCCCAACTAGTACAATTATTTCATTTAGATCAACTAACTTGAGCTTCATGTTTGGTAAACATTGACCAATCGAAGTATATCGTCGATCACCGCTGCAACTGGCATAGAGACTACTAGTCAGGAGACTTGCATTCTCTGTCATTTCACAGACTTAACTAACTCGAAGGTTGTCTAATTCTTTCTCAAGCTTCCGTATTAGTTCTACAGGAATATAAGTTTCACTTAAACTCACGTAATTTAGCGAACTCAGATCGTAATGATGCCGACTAGGAAGTGAAAGGATATTGTAGAAGAGAGCAGATCCACTCATCATGTACGTACATTTTTTGTTCATCAATCGCATGCATAATTGCTTCGAGATCGTACGCTAAGGCTGGTATAATCGCTGTGCATTTTAGTGACTGAAGGTAGAAGCACGTCTCTAGTTCTACTGTTGATATGAGTCATCAACAAAGATACCCAATAGTGTGAATAGAGTGATACAAAAAATGATTACTAAGTAACTTTGCACTATTCAAAGTAGCAAAATTAGTCAAGACGACTGATTTTGGATGACTTGCGGAGCCTGATATGAAAAGAATTATGAGAGATGAATCTGGATCAATCGATTGTTCGCGAAAGTTAAATGAATCCTGTTGTTCAGAATTTTTAACATCACCAAGTACCATTAATTCATCTTAGAAATGAGCATTTGGTATAGGTACACTATTAATTTTACGATTTGATCCAGTAAGAATAATATGTTCAGGAATAATTGCAGTTTCTTCTATACTATATTTCTGGTCTAGTAATGTATTGTTCAAAGTATGAAGTATTGTACTGCTAGCGTTCAACATGATACCTTGACATCCAACTGTTTTCAGTAATATATTCAAGCTCTCTTGGTACAATCGAGGGATCCAGATGAACCTATATTAGAGTTCTATAAAAGGTTAGAAATCTTAGCTTTGCTAGATATACTTTGATAAGGCCGAGTGTCGAAGCAACATAAGTAACTACAAGATTTTCGGAGCAGTTCATTAGAATAATGCCAAGACAATCGTTTCTTCTGAATCTAATTTTTTATAAGGCTTTGTCTATGCAGTTTATCTCATGTTGAAAAGCAGCATATATATATATATATATATATATATCTTGTTTTCCCCTAAATATAAACGTCGTTACTCGCAAGCAACGAATAAATTCAATTGATACCTTTAAAAATATAACATTCGTCAGTTGGATATCGAACAGTCAGCTCCTCAAAACTTTGAGTGACCGTTTTGTATTCAAGAGCAACTGAAGATGCATGATGAGTATAACTCACGTCAGCTTTGAATCTTTGATTAAAGGGAGTCTTGTGTTAATCATCACATCACACGAGTGATTATATATTTCATCGACTAATATTCATTGTTTCTTTTGTTTGTGAATATGTTGATTATCATATCAATAGTATGCAAGTACCACCAAAACAGAAAAAAACGTATAAATTTCAACAAATCAATATCAAATGTACTATTTGTGATGCATACTCAGATTTTGCAATGGGCTGAGTATGAACCTGATAGTAATCGACAGAGAAATTTTTCTCTGTCGAACTGTACTTTTAGTTAAAAAAAAAAATCCATACCTCAAAATAATCGATGTGATCTGATCAATCAAAAGACTAATCGTCTAAAGCAGTTTTTTCTTGTAAATTTGACTGAGGCCGAAAAATGATATTGACACTAATTGATAGAGAAAATTATTCTCTATCAGACTATAATTTTAGATTTTTCTGGAAAAATGTCTATATATCGAAATAATTGACACAGGATGGCCAATCAAAGTATGTTTACACTTTTCATTTGTTGGATACTCATTCAATGATTCATAGTTGTTTGTCGCTAAGCGAATGCAGAATAACATTAGAATAGAGAAAAGCAAAGAATTAGTCATAGTTGCTGATAATATTGATCCCTTTGTTTTACTAATTCGAATGAATCAAAAGAGGAAACTTGTTTGCTCCATTGATCGTGCGCATTCGTTCATAGAGACATGTATATCTATTTCTTTCTTATTCTTTTTCAATTTTGTCCTTCCATCTTCAGTCTGTAGGACCCAAATTCTCTGTATAAAATTAGCGACTACCAAATTGCTTCAAGCAGTACTATCTTATTTTCAGTTTTTATCTATTAGTTTTTGTTTGATTATGACGCAAAATCTTGTTCAATTTTATTTGACAACAATATAGGAAGCTTGAAAGTGTGGATGAAGGTGTCAAGTGCAAGTCTGACTGTTGCCTAGTACTGAATCTCTATCCATATCCACACCCAAATCCTGCAAGATCCTTCATTTTATTTAAAACGATTGATATAAATCCGTAGTTTCAAGTTCAAAAACTTCACGAACGGTTGTACCTAAAGCTAATGCTGCATGAGCTAGTTGTGTGATTGAATAATACATTGCTGATAGGGCAACAAGAATGGAATCAGTATGCTCATTTTGAGCATATGGAACAAATGTAGTGGGTTGTTCTCCTTGATTGTATCGATGAAAATAATGATCAAATAAACGATTGAGTCCTTGTTGATGTTCATTTTTCAATCGATCAATGGTTTTATGTAATTGACTTAGGTATTTTTCATATTCGAATAAATCTTGTTGATTCAATTTTCTACGATGTGTTATTAAACCACGAATTAACTGATGGCAACAAGTTTGTGTGACATTAAAATAAGTTGACCAAAGTTGTAAACAATCATTTAATTGTTTACTGAGATAGAATAATTCATTATGAACATTTGGAAGAAGAAGAACGTTTGCTGCATGAAATTTCACTTCTTCCAATTCTTTTTCATTCTTTATTGCACATTCACTTAGACTTATTAACTTCAAACAGAAAAAGAAAATAGAATTTGTATTCGATTCAATGAATTCGAACTTACTGCCACATCAATATTATGTAACATTCTAAATATATCCATTTGTTGTTGAACCATTAAATTATAATGAGACGAAGAAAAAGGATTTTTAAACCAGCAGAATGTTGGTTCCATAGATGCAGTTGTCACTAACATTCGTTGACTACTAATTAATTGATGAAAATGAGATCGTTGTTCATCAAGAAATGATTTGATTTGATTTTTATTTTCGAAATCAATCGAAATCTCGTTTTCCATATGTTGATGATGAAATAATTCATCATATACTTTATGCATGGAATTAATACTATCTTTACATGATTCGAAACTTTCTAAAATCACGAACAAATATTTTAAATACTTTTTCTTTTCATTTTACTTTGAATATTTTCTTTTAATAAATCAATGGCAAAAACAGGAAATATGGTCAATGTTATAATACTGGCAATTGTAATTCCAACAAAATTTTCTTCAATTCGAAGTAATGCATAATTTCCAGCTGGTAAGGCATCTCCAAAGGGTAATCGACCTAAATTGATAAGTATCGGGGTAAGTAGAGCGACGGCGGCTGTGTAACCCCATTTAGGAAATAATCTTAAATAACCAAATAAAAATACCCATGGAACTAATATGACAAATGTTTCAAATATATTATCACGAACTAATAAATAGGTTATGTAGGACCACATGGCACCTACACAAAAAAACGAGCACATACTCATTTTTCAATCTTATTGGAAAAAAAATTTACCTAAAAGAGTTCCCGTCAGTCTCATTTTCATTGTTGTAAATGCTCCTCCAACAGTATCCGCTTGTGTCATACAGAGAGCAATTAATATCCATTGTCCATTTTCAAATATCTTTGCTAAATATGGAACCATGACAAAGATGGAACCAACTCCAATAATAATCATACTTTTAATCGATAGTAAAATTCTTGGCCATTGAAATTGAAAACATGAATTCAAACGAGATATTTTCTTTTCTTGTACAATATCTTTCTTGGAATAATCGCTTGTTGATTCGATTAATAATTTCACAATAGTGAATAATTGAAAAAGAAAGAAAGCATGTGAAAGATGATCGTCTAATTGAAGAATATTTTCCATCTGATTAAGACAAACTTTCTTATAGGATGAATGAACGAAATCCACAGATACGTGAAGGTTAGTTAAACGATAAATGAATCTATCTTTAGATACTGATTGAGTTGATGTCAAAGATGAAATAAGACTTGATTGACATGAATTAAGGTAAATAAGACTGGATTGAAGTTCGCATCTTAAAGCATGATGATATTCATTAAATTGACATTTATTGACCATTAATTGAAGAGATGACACATGAAACATTAATGAACTTAATAAATTGACTTGTTCTAAAGAAAACATCATGAAAAAAGTTGATTCAAATTTAATTGACAAACCTTGAATATTCAGATCAATCATATGTTTTCGTTTTCGAAAAAATATTCGTTGTAATAATCTCGACGGCTCGTATCTTGCTTCCACTAGTCTTGTCTGCATAATAATTAATGTTTGACGAATTATATCTTCAATAATCGATGCACGTGAAAGTGAAACTTTAGCAGCTATTGGATCTGGCGATAAAAAAGCTTGAATGATAAGATAATACATACGTTGGAAATAACGTAAGCAATAATTAAAACGATTTTCAACATCAATGGTGGCAAATAATGGAAATACCAATAGAGAAACAAATATTGATATACTCATTCCGATAAGGAATACTGCCAATAATAAAAAAACAAATAGTATTGGAAGTTTTTCCTCATTAACAATCGTTGAAAAAAATATTGCATTATATAACAAAGCTATTTTTCGTGTTTGAATCTATTGAGAAAAACAGTCTATTGATTTTCTTCAATGATAAAAAAAAAATATTTACTTGTGTACATTGATAAGCAATAAGAAATGATAAAATTAGTAATAGAAGTTCAGCCGCTAAATAATGCCCATAGGAAAGACCAATGATGTGAATAATAAAAAGAATAATAGAAAGAGGAACAATGGAAATTATCGTTTGAATATTTGAGGATAATGTTAATCCAACTGTTTCTTGTATTGATATAGCACTAATCACACATATGATATATTGTTGATCTAATTGATAACGTAATCGAGTGCCATATGCAATAAATCCACTAATAATAAATGCTAAAACGGTTTTAAAACAAAATTGAAAGCGGCGAATGAACGCTGAATCAATGCATAATGGTGAAGATTTAATACGGTGAGCATTGAAACAAAAAACAGTACCAAATCGACTTATTCTTGACAAAAACATGATTTAATCATTTTCGTTTGGAATCTCGACATAAATCGATAAGATCAAAGGTCATCGGATTGAGAAATGTAAAACGTCTCATATTACGTACGAAACAGTCTTAAGTTAATTATAAAAGAACAAGACATTTATCACTTCAGAATACGATAACAATTTGATATGGCAGAAAAACTTACAAAAGACAAGACGCCGAACGATGAAATGTCGAAGAAAAAATGTCGAAATGAAAAAGCAGAAAAGAAGCAAAGCGAAAAGAAAAAAGAACGAAAAAGAAAATCTCGAAAGAAAAGTATTGAAAGAATAAAATATAATTAGTAAGATCATCTTGATCAATAATACAAAAACTTGTATTGAATAGAAAAGTAGCAGAAGACGATCATGTATAGTGCGATTAACATTGAAAATAAATTAAAGGTGTGGATGTTGGTCTACATCATCTCCAAGCTCGAGTCTACAATCCACACTCATATCTGACACACTCGAAATCGATATAGGATATTTTTATCAGGCATTATGGTAGTCATCAGGCATAGGAACTGTGATAATCGTGTCGAAGATTGACTCTATAACTGTAATATTCTTTGATACCATGCTTCACATTTCTATAATTCATATAATAACTATGTAAGTTTTATATATTTTGTGTGAACATGAGTTCAGTTTTTATTTGTTCAAAGACACTAAATCGAAATAGATTAGACGAGAAGAGAGCATGAAGAACAACGTAACTAGAAAACAAAACAGCGAATCAGAACATATATAGAGTTAGTAGAGATGATCTAGCACAAGAAATTGAACTTCTGTTTTATTTTGCTCATAACTATTTTTTTTTATTATAATTAAGAGAAAAACATTTTTGCTACAAGAAATGTAGAGAAAATATTTTTCTATTCAAGGGTGTGAGTGTGGGTGTTCACATCTCCCACGTCCACACCCACACCCTCTTCATTCAGATCAACAGCTGAAGCTAACAGATAAAACAATATAAGAAGAATTAGAAAAAGAGAAAAATATATACTAGTTGTGAAATACTCCTAATTCTTGCATTTTCTGTTCATTGTCTTTTTCATCGGCCTTATTTGGCGATGAAATTATATTTTCATACGAAATGCTAAGTTTCGATATCATTATTTGAAGTAAAGATCGAATTCGATGTTATGAACTACACAATAAAAAGAAGTGTTAGATTTCCAAGATTGAACTGAAATTGCATCGAGCGAGGCATTAAGAGTTGAAGTATGCAGCGAATGAAGTACGATTTTTTCTATTTCGTCCCATTACAAGTGTTGGACGCATAATTTGATTTTTTTTGTACACAAAGCCGTTTAAGCTCGTTGTTAGAGCTGATTCGTCCATAGTTTCATGAATAAAAATTAGAAAAAAATAAAAATAATTATCAAGTATTCTGCAACTCTGTTTTTTCCATGCATTACGCAACAGTCTGATGAAAATCGCATCACAGCGAGAACTCATAGTTGAACGAGTAGGTTTTGTAGATATCTTCTAATAAAATTCAGGGTGTAGGCATGTATGAGAAAAACATAAAACGGACCACAACAGCACATGCTCAGGTCCACGCCCGTTGAGATTCAAAATATGGAACTCACATATGTTTTGTTGGGTGTGAATGTGAGTGTAGACGAATGATGGACACATCCACACACCTATGTTATCTACCAGATCTGATCGATTTTGACTTTATAAATTCGATCAGGGCTTTTTAAAACCCGGTATGAGAATATCAATGAAACGCAGTTTAAATAATCGGAATATGCTGCAAAAGTAACTGGAAGGATCCGGTCACCGTGTAGTATCGAATTTCGAGCCCGTCTGAAAGATCTGACATACCGAGCTTGACCTAAGTATAGCATTGAAATCAGTCATGTTTGTCTATTTAGAGTAGCTGCTGTTGTAATTTTTAATTCTTTCACGCTGATAGTTGCATTTGTAGCATTATATCTCCATCGTCGACGGAAACAACAATATCAGCCATTGGAATCAAGGGAAAGTCTCAAAAGTAATGACTCATCAATAACACTGCTAGACGATTATGTTTTGTGAGCAAACGTTTGGAACAGCTTTTTCATTTCAGAGCGAAAAATATTTGAGACAAAATAGAAATGTTTGTACTTGAGTTCATATAATAGAGCATCGGTGATCAGAAATATATAAGAAAACCAGACTAATTTACTCTCTTCCTTCTACGAGCTCGTGCTGATTGAAAGTCTTGTTATCACTGCCGTAAAAGCAAAGAATTATTCATTCTTCTTATCAGTTTTCTTGTCTAACATAAGACATCGCCTAATAATTTACCTGTGTTGCTTTTGTTTAAGGAAATACCAGCAGAATAATAAATTTAGAAAAAAAAAACAGAAAAGGTGGTAATTAGTAAAAAAAAAACCTATTAATTTTCACATTCATTGCCGAACGTACAAAGTTTGGAGCATTGCATCCTTCGGTTAAGAATCAACTATTACTAAATTAGCAAATACTACAGGTAAGAAAGCAATACGAAAAAGTTCATCAGAAGTGGTTAGCTATAAGTTTGAAGCATTCTACCTGATCTGAAAGATAAAAAATAGAAATTATCTAGCAGAGACTAACAAAAAGGCATTTTATCGATCTCTGACGTAACCACTGTTTCATCAAGGGTCGTTAACAGAGACTGAGAAGTTGTTTGCAGATACTCGCGCTACTGCGTAATTGCAAGAAAAAATAGTTTTATTTCGATTTTTTTAAAATTTAGCAGTATAATAATGTTCACAAATTTCGTTGTCGTCATTATGCTCTCTACTGCAGTAGTTAGTGTCATAAAATATCATGAGGAGATGATCAGTAATGTAATTCCCCGCCGAGATACAGATGAAAATATAATGGATGCACATGATGGTAGTATCTTTCCGTATGATGATCTCTACTACTATTATGGTGCAAGTTACGGCCTATGCGAAGAACCTTCGAGTCTATCAGATTGTAATATATGGCATCCAGGCGGATATGTTTCAACTCAATAATAATATAAATCTTTATACTTCGACGAATCTTTCTGCGTGAGCATTTCGTGAATATACCTTTCAAATGTCTTCAATGAAGACTCAAGGAATAATGTTCTGCCCTCGTGTTTCACCAAATCCAAAGGCAAAGAAGTGGGTTATGTGGTTTAATTTTTTACCAGCTACAAGTACACGTGTTTCTCAGTCACAGTAAGTTGTGGCCGTATCGAATACACCGCAAGGTCTCTTTCAACTGGTCCCCGATAAGGTGACTACTCTATGATGATAGTATTTAGAATCCTAATCATTTAATGTCTGTGGAGAAACTGTTCGTTGACTATTTTACTTCACTAGGTAATGAGTTTCATAGTGGATATTTTTATGAGATCTTTATCGAAGCTCCCGGAATGTTCAAACGCAATGGAATCTACTACGCAGCATTCGGTTAGTGTTGTTATTACTGTGCAGAAAAGTCATCTACCACTGTCCATAATTCTTCGTCTCTCCTCGGCCTTTTTGTAACAATGAGTAATTCAGGGAACGAAAGCCATGCTCAATAGTACAACATTCTAGAGTTTAAAACTAATGGAGATGAAGGTTATGGATACTTGTGGTAAGACAATAAGTAGTGAAGTTCTCCAGATGGTGCCAAAGGACATGACTTTACCTACTTGTCACCTCTATCTTTCGATCAGGATGGTAATGTGAAGTATATGAGCTATACTTCGAACTTTACCATTGATGAGATTTTCGATATTCATTAAAATTTATCTTGATCTTATCATTTCATTTATTTCTTTAATCAATTCTGTGAAATATTATATTATTTCACCTTTTATTTGACAAAGAAAGATTGGACGTTATTCCATTTTGGCTGTGAATGTGTTTTTCTTGGTCGGTATGTTTCACTCGTTCGTGTCGGTTTTGGTGAGCTGGAATATGTGTATGTTTTTTGGAACCCATATCGGCAGCGTGCGTATCTAGATGAGAATCTCATCAAAGTTCGAGCTAACCGGCCGGCTCTTACTGGTTTCAGTGTCTTTCGAGCACAGAAATGGATACACAGGTGTCTTTCTTGTGTATAATGTTCGCAAAAGGGAAAAGAATTGGTAAAGTACGGTTTCAACGTGAGATAAGGATTTGGGATGTGAGTGTTAATAATTATGTTCGTTGGTGTGAGTGTTTTTGAGTACTTCGGAGACAATAAGTACAAGGAATAAAAAGTACTACTGACTGCTGAGCGCTGGGATCTTTTCTAGAGTTCATTTATTTCACCATTCTCTATAGTTTATCCGAGTTGCTCAGGCTCCCTAAGTGTGAGACTTCCTACACTTCTGCAAGCTCCTAGGGTTCTGCAAGTTCTTTAATCTTAGTGAGTTACAGAAATGGTAAATTTTCAAGAGTTCCAGGAGTTCAGAATTCATGGAATTTGGCCACATCTCACTCAGGCAAGCAACATACTTCACACAAATGAACAACGAAGTGTTTATAGGTTGCATTGCCACTACAATTGTATATAACTGCTGTCAAAATTTGACTTGTTATAAATCAGTATAGTGACGTGAACAATACGTGCTTTAAAAAAAGGCAGTTGTGTCGATTAATTGAGCCTTTGTACTTTTGTCTCATCTCGACGTGTCTTCAGAAATGGCATCAGTATAGTACCGCCAGTACTGCGCGCTGACTATGCAGTTTCACCTTTCTCTTTCGCATTAGTATTATTATTTTTAAAATATTGATTAGTCGGTTTCCTGGATTCTAATTGAACATCATCGTTGTTCTTCCGTATCTGTGCCAAAATATAGAGCGCTACAATTTGTATATGTTTATTTCTGAATACTATCAATTGATCAATGCAAGCATTGTACGCATAAAGAAGTTCACTTTCTTGTTGTTCTTTTTCAAATGATGTTAGCATCTTCACAAAACCACTTATGTTGCAATTATCTGCGACTAACATTTCTAGAAATTGGCGATGCTTCGGTGACATATAAAAACGCATTTCAC